GGTCATTAAGCCTCAACATGGCATCGCCCTTATTGGCATCGCCCTTATGTGTGGAGGTGGAGTTCGGAGGTGGTGCAGAGCTCCTGTTTGATGGAGTAAAAAAGCATCTGGGCAGAAGGAACCCTGGGATATCCAGAATCTCCTTGTCTGGATCAAGAAGACTGTTCAGAAAGAGCCGCCAGAGCTGTTCATCCAGGGAGACAGTGTGCGACCAGGAATCCTGATGCCGGTTAATGCTGCCGACTGGGAACTGCTGGGGGAGCTGGACTACCACCTGCAGGACCAGGACAGCGTTCTCTTCATCTCCACACTGCACGCGGCTGAGGCCTCCTCCATGAGCTCAAGCACCTTTTCAAGGGGAACACAGGACAACCGCAGGACCCTTCGGATCTGCTTCCAGGTCTTCAGTTCCCCTTCAGTCCTCCTTCCCTGCTGTACCCCTGAGCTTCCTCTAGGCAGGGAAAAGAGGCCAGGTGCTAAAAATGAGCCTTTCTCGGCAAGGCACGTGAGCAGGGAGGGAGAGCAGCCGCCTGAGGTCAGCACTCCTCCCAGCAGCTCAGGTAGGGTGCTCCAGTGCTGTGTCAGGAGTGGAGGTGGCTCTGTGTCCAGGTAACCCAGCTGCTTGCCACTCCTGAGTGGTTGCCTGGAAGGCACTCCAGTTCCTGAGACATCTTCATGGAGAAGATGGATGGACTGGAGTAACTGATGAGAAGCCCCTCCCTTGCCAAAGATTAGAGGGGCCTCCGCCTCAGTTTCTCCATCTGGACACAGAGAACTCTGCTTGTCCCCCCACTGATGTCATTATGGAACCCCAGCTGGGGTCCCCTATTCAGTGCTCACCTCCCTCTCCTCTACCCAGTAGCTGCTCTCCTAGCCATACCCCTCCTCCCGTTTCTCCCATCCCCAGCCCTTGGTCCTGGCTGGCCTACCTCCAACATAGGTCACCAGATGGGCTCCAGAGACGCTCTCCAGGCTGCCTACAACTCATTCTGTTGGGGGTAGAGAATGGAAGGAAGTAGCCTAACCTTAGAGGCAGAGGGGGTGGGGCCTCAGCACATATAACTCCAGGCTCCCTGAAACAAGCAGGATTTGGGTGTACAGCCCCTAGTAGACAGAAGGCTGCGTTCCCCACCCACCCACTCACCCACTTTTCCTCCATCCCTTCTGGAACTCTGGAGACTTTATGCCTGCAACAGCTGGCCTTGGACAAATAAAAAGACTAAGTTGTTTACAAAAAAAAGTCATTAAGTAAATAGTATATAGGTGAAGATTTTGTAAAACTGCTATTCTTTTTTTTCTTATATGTTTATTATGTTCTCTGTGAACATATTTAACAGGTTCAAGTACATTAAATCCTGACTTTACGATAATTTTTCTCAAAGTAACCTTTCTTCTTATTAACTTGCTAATTGGTTTGGTGCACTTGTTTAATTATTGAAATTTACAATTACTTTACTTCTAAGTGGTTAACTTTACGAGTCTAACATAAGAGCAGTGGTAATGTTATTTTACAAACTGTCATTTTTCAGTATTATTCTTTTATGTAATACAACTGCAAAAAACCTACTATTCTTAATTACACAACTGTTCACTTAGAAAACTCAAGATTACTATAAAAATTATCACCAAAATTCTTAATTTACAATAGGATATAGATACAAGATAAAATTGCCAAAATTAATAGCTTTATTCACGTTAGGAAAATTTACCAGAAAGGGCAATCAAGGGCTGGGGAGATGACCCAGCAGGTAAAGACTCTTGCTGCTAAGCCTCATGATCTGAGCCTATCAAATAATTAAGCTTAATAAAAATGAAGAGCTCCATAAACAATGGTAAAAACTACAACATCTAGAAGAAATGTAAGTATAAAAACACAAAGCAAGGTCTCAACACGGAGACAAATACTGCGGCTGGATAGGAGGACTTGATGGTGTGAAAAAACTGTGCTTTGGGGACTGTGGATAGAGTTGAGCTGCACAGGGTTTGCCCTGGGTGCCATGCCCAACACAGCATAACTGTGCTTGGTACTGCTCGCCTATAATCCCAGCACTGAGGAGGGAGAGGGAGGAGAATCACAAATTCAAGGTTATTCTCAGTTACATAGCTGGGGTAGGAGATGCTATCTGATAACAGCAAAAGTGATTATACTTTAATACAAAATTAATGAATAGCAAACTAGTCTATTATTTTAAATCAGCTTTTGGGATTTCATATGGAACTGTTTTATATCATTTCTACCTAGTCTTCCCTCCCTCCAACTCCTCCCATGTCCCCTTCACTCCCTTTCAAATTCATGATCTTGTCTACTTTGTTACACACACATACACACACACACACTCACATACACTCACATTCACACACATGCATAAATACTTATATTCGGCTGAGTTCCTTTAGTGTTGCTTGTTTTTAGGCCTAACCACTTGAGATTAGATAAACTATCATGGTTTGTTCTTGAAAAAGTGATTCTCCCTTCTCAGCAGCCCTTACTTGCCCGTAGCTGTTCATCTAGAGGTAGGCCCTTGTGGAATTTCCCCCGCTCTGGGATGTCAATTGCGGGTGTCGTTATGCAGTTCTTGTCTGGACTTCCTGGATGAGATTTTATAGGTGCACTTTTCTCTCATATCCAGAAGACACTAGCAGTTGTTTGCTGGTCCTCTTGTTCTAAAAATCATTCTACCCCATCATCTTCCATGGAGTCTCTGAGGCTTAGGTCTGGAGAGGATTTGTTGTAGATGTATCAGTTGGGGTTAGGGACCCTATGGTCTACTACTGCCTGTTTCCTAAGCCACTGTTATATCTAACTTAAGTATAATATTACATTCAAAGTTTATATTTTATGCAAATGCGTGTCACATTTGCATGTCTATGTACCACATATATGCAGAGCTCATGAAAGGTAGAAGAGGGCATCAGGTTCCCTGGAACTCTATTACCAACCAATACTAGTCATCACCGTGGATGATGGAGCAGTCAGCGCTCTATTGGCTGAGTCACATCTCCAGCCCCTTGTACCTGAATCCTAAATACCCACCCTTACACCCATAGATGAGTCCTTGTACCTGCATCCTAAATACCCACCCTACACCCATAGATGAGTCCTTGTACCTGCATCCTAAATACCCACCCTTATACCCATAGATGAGTGTAATTCTCACCCCTTTTCAAAGAAGTGTCTTTTTGCAACAGGTGGAGGTTATTAAAGCCATCCACAGCTGGTCAAAATGATGAGAATAACCAACTGACGGTAAAAGACCCAGAGAGGCAGGAGAATCACTAAGGTTCAAGGTTAGCTCAGGCTAGAGTGAGACTGTTACACACAAACACACACACACACACAAAGATAAAAGTAGTAATATAACTTATTTCAATTTTTACTACAAAAATATAATTAAATCATTAAATAGTCAAATCATTAAGTAGTAAAAAATCATTCCAAATAGAGCACAGCATGTAAAACAGATCCACACTGGGCAGTGGTTGGACTCCTGGAAAGAAGCTATACCACAGGAACTGACTGGTCTAAACCACAGCTGTAGCAAGTTTTGAACGTTGGAAGTCCAGAACCAAATTATATTGAGCCATCTTCTTCTCCTGTGCATGTGACTTAGCTTCTTAATGACTATTAGGTAAAACCTTTGGAATGTTCACTAGGACTTCTCACTTCCATCAGCCAAAAGGGGTAAGAAATTCATCAAATGCCATCTGAAGAGTTTTAACAACCTCCTGCCCTCCCACCCTCCACCGCTTACCTGATGTACCCATCAATGTATTTGAAAAGTGTGTTGATTTGTTGTCGTTTCTATTAAAAATGGAACATGAAACAGAATTTGGGGCTCCTGGGGCCACTGAAGGTCATATTAGGCTCCAGAATGAACGGTATTTTATTCCCTTTGAAGTGAGTCGTGGTTGTAGATTGACAAAATTTATTAACAATTTAAAACGTCAAGGTGAATACTTACACTGGAAAACTGTTTACTACTTTTTCCAAATTCAAAGCCAAAACTTTACACACATCACATCGTTTCACTCAGGTCTCAAATGCAGACAATCTATTCTTCTTACCTTCCATTAGTTTGTCTAACTCGTACCCTGACTCTTTTTGTTTTGTTTTTCGAGACAGGGTTTCTCTGTGTATCTCTGGCTGTCCTGGAACTCACTCTGTAGACCAGGCTGGCCTAGAACTCAGAAATCCGCCTGCCTCTGCCTCCCAAGTGCTGGGATTAAAGGCGTGCGTCACCACTGCCCGGCTATACACTGATTCTTTAGGCTATGGAACACAACCATTTATTGCACTAATTCCCAACCTACTTAACGAATTAGCTTGACAGAATCTCTTCCCTTAGTCTTCCACACCACAATTCCATCCATGCTGTTTGTAGTTTACTCTACTTTTTGATTATCGCCTGCCTAGGTCCAATAGGTTTGCTCCCCATGACCTTTTAGCAGCCACTGAAATACAAGGCCAAAGCTAAGTAGAGAAGCGGGGCTCCAGCGGCTGTAGAAGCGCCCATCTGCCAGGTGCCGTCGAAACCCTCAGTCCTGGAGTGCTGGGTCTGGGCTCCGCGGTGGTGAGCGTCCCCGTTCTTGTTGAAGCCTTGCGGTGATCACGATCACGGCAAACCGAGGCTAGCCGGCGGCGCTGGGTAAACACGGTCCAAGTCCGCCTAAAGGCCGGGACTAGAAAACCCGCCGTGTGGCAACGTCCTGAACTCCCGATTAGCAGAGGAGGAGGAGCCTGGCCGTACGCATGCGTGCTGGGCACCGGTAGCTGCCCGGCCTGTGTGAGCATGCGCGTGGGCTTGGAAGGCGCGCGTTGCTAGTTTGCAGCTTTGCTCAGCGATTATTGTGCTTTAAAAACCTGCGGGGCCATGCAGCGTCTTTCCCGTTGGGATCCTGTGAGTCTAGGCTGGCTTTTCAGTAAGTGCTAGGGTTGCGTCGTGGAGGCAGCCGACGCCACGCTGGGGGAGAAGGTGCCTGTGAGGGGCGTACCCTCTGCCATGAAGAAGATTTTTGGCTTCAGGAGTAAGGGCCCATCGCCCTTAGGCCCCTCTGGCCGCCCGCGGAGCAACTGCGTGGGCTTTGGACGTGAGAGTGCTAGTGGCTCCCACGTGCCCAGGTACCACATTCATGACAAGGATATGGGAAAGATCCACAAGGCTGCAAGTGTGGGTGATGTAGCCAAAGTGCAGCATATCCTTATCCTTGGGAAATGTGGCGTGAACGATAGAGACAAGAAGGACAGGTAATAAATGGCCCGCGAGCTAGCGGGGGGCGGGACGAGGCTGGTGGGGGAGTGTGCACCTTGTCTGGCTTTGGGTCTGGAAGACGGAGCCAGAGTCTGGCTTTCACTAAGGAAGCTCATCCCACCTTGCCCTGAATGCCTAAATCTTGGTGGGCTCTAAGCCCCGCCCTGTATGAACAGGATGGACAGCAACAAAAAACACCACAGCTAGTTTCTGATCCACTTACATACAGTTCCCTTCACTGGCTATGTAAAACGAATTAACTAACAATTTAATTTTCCAAATACATATAAAAATGTTTTATATTGTAGAAATACATAGTTAGGAGAAATGTTTCTGTTCAAGATTAAAAATTCTTTCACTAATATGCAGTATCCATCTTCTATCACCATACACCTGTGTGAATGTGGTTTTTCTTCTTTCTTTCTCTTTCTTTCTTTCTTTCTTTCTTTCTTTCTTTCTTTCTTTCTTTCTTTCTTTCTTTTTCTCTCTTTCTTTCTTTTTACTGCATTTTGAAGTGGGAAAATAGTTGCATGTTTTGTAGTTGAAGATTGATAATTCCCAGAACGTGAACTCTGAGTATCCTCCTGATCGGTTTTACGTAAACCAAATATGACTGTCAGCATTTTAACAATTTTAAGTTTCTTATGCTGCTTTTGATTTTGGGATGACACTAGGGAAAAAAAAAAAACCCGTTCTAAAGAGTCAAAACTATTAGTTTTCACAGATCAGTCATTTACTAGTAGTCAAAGAGACACAGCAGTGAGTAGAGCAGAATAGAAAACCCAGAAATACCCAGTCAAGTATATGTGAGAATTTACAAACTGATTTTGGTAACACCCCAATTAGTAGGGGACAGAACACTGATGAATGAAATGGGTGTTTACTTGTTTGGAGGAAACTAGCAACATTTGTATGTCACTAAAATAAATTCCTAATAGAATATAATTTAAGCATTAAAAGAAAGCACAATGAGAAAAGTACCAAAACAAAAAGACTAAGAATGACTGCAGAACCACTGTGTATGTGTGTGTGTGTGTGTGTGTGTGTCTGTGTATTGGTAATTGAATGCAGGTTTGTGGTGTGTCCTCAGGATACATTCTAACATTGAGCTTTTTAAAATAAGACATTCTCAAGACCCGATTAAACAAAATCTGAGGATAAAGCAACTGTATACTTGCAAAGGATTTATAGTACATATATATATGAATGTCACGTGAAAAACATCTTCATTTTATAGAAAATTCTTTTAAGTCAATGAGGAAAAAACTTAAAAGCTCCAAACTCTTAATTATTTTAATTGGTCACTTATATATTGTTGCTGGGCATCAAACACAGAGCCTCGAATACACAAGGCAAGTTCTCTAGGACTGAGCTGGATTCCTAGTCCCTGAACTCTTGACTTCATCAACGCTTTTTTTTTGGTAGATTCACAAGTCTTCTATGGACATTAGAAAGCTATTTTGTGTCCATGGTAAGAGCAGGAAAGTAAGTTAAGAGAGAAGTGATATGTCAGCTCTCAGGCACAGTGTGTGAGGGTGAGGACCATGTTCCTGCTGATGCTGTGTTGCTTAGGGCTTTCCAGTCCACACACTGGTAGTCAGTGGGCTACCACATATTGTCTCTGTCTCTAGAATAGGTTTAGGAACTAATGGGACAACCCTTTTCTTGACACTGCTTAAAATAGCAGTGTATTAAGAAGCCAGAGAATATATTCTATAAATAAATAGCAGTGCATCCATAAGATGTGTATATGACTGCTGAAGTAGTGGATTAACATGGAAAGAAGCTATATCGAGTAAGGAAAAGTCAGTTTGATTCTACGTATGCACAAATAGAGTATGGTCTGTCTTAGCCATAATATAATAAAATCTGATAAAATAAAGAGTAAAGAAAAGTTGCTGAATTTTTTTTTAGATTATAATATAATTATGTCATCTCCCTCTTCCTTTCCCTCCCTCCAAATATTCCTGTATACCCCCTTGCTCTATTTCAAATTCATGGCCTTTTTTTTTTAATGAATTGTTATTACATGTATCTTTATATCTGTATATATATTTCTAAGTATTAACCATTACACCCTGTATAATGTTAATCATATGAATGTTTTCAGGGCTGACCATTTGGTATTGGATAACCAATGGTGTGTTCTTCCTGGAGGAAGACCCCACCTCCTACTTTCAGCTTTCCTCAGTTGCTCTTAGTTCTTTGTGTAGGGCTGAGGCCTCGAGAGAGTCCCCCCCCCCCACATATTTGGTGAGACTGTGGGGCTTCTGACATTTCTGGGGGACACACTCATAAAGCAAGCTCCCTGTTCTTTGGCTTTTAAATTCTTTTTACCCCTCTTATGCATAGGTCCTGAGAATTAGGTACAAGAGGTTTTTGTAGCTGTATGTACAGGGACTGGGCTCCACACCCTGCATTTTGATTGGTTGTGGTTTTATGTAGTGTTTTTTGTCTGTTGCATAGAGAAGTCTCCTTGATGAGGGTAAGGACTGTAGTTGTCTGTGGGTATAAGGACAAATATTTAGAATATAGTTAGGGTTTGTGCTGGTTTTATAAAATGCTGGTTGTAGGGTCTCATCCGAGAGACCAGCCTTAGGTAGTTGGCTAGGTGTCCAGTACCAAACATGGTTTCCCCCTTGTTGAGTGGACCTTAAGTTGAATTAGTGGGCTGTTAGTCACCATCAAGGTATGCATGCCACTACTGCCCCCTTAGAGTTATAGTTCCCTGCTTGTCCTTGCTGTGGTTCACGGGTGTCACAGCTGGGTAGGACTGTTGGTTGCTTCCCTCCTTTGGAAGCTTGTTTGCATGGTGCTTTCTGGGACCATAAAAGGTAGTCATCTGGGAGGAGGTATTCAGGTCAGTTCCAGTTCAGGGGCCCTTGGGCCCAGTGCCTGAAGTACATAGTATCTTCAGAAACAGGGACTTACTTTCCACCTCTGGGCAACCAAGTGTTACTGATATTTATGTAGATTTGTATCATGTGTAGGTGGGGAAGTATGTCTGCTTCCATCCTTTAGTTTGTGTGACTTTATCAGTGAGATGTGTTTCCCTTAGACGAACAGTAGTGTTATTCTAGGATTTGCTGATATTTGTGATCTCCCCTACCCACTCCATTGGTTCAGATAGGCTTACTCTTTTGTAATCATAGCGTAGGAGTTTGCTGGTGTACTGTTAGTTCTTTCCATTCCAATTCTCATCTGTTTATCTGTTCCCTGTCATACCTGCCCCTCACCCACGTAGGCATATACAAGAACTGTGGGCTTGCCCTGTGACCAGGGCTATCACTCTATTTTCTTTCCTTTTAAATATTAGAGAGATAGACGATAGATAGATAGATAGATAGATAATAGATAGATGAGATAGATTGTGTGTATGTATGTGTGTGTGTGTGTATGTATGTGTGAGTGTTAGTGAAGGTGCGTACGTGCCATGCAATGTTTGTGGATGTCAGACAACTTTCAGGAGTCAGTTCGCCATTTACCATGGATTTAGGGAGTGAATTCAGGTTGTCAGGCTTTTGTGGCCAATGCCTTTGTCCAGAGAAAGGCTAAGTGATGACTAATAAGCAGCAGATTTTAAAGCAATGTTGATACCCAAGTCAAATTACAAAGGCTATATATACTTCTTTGCAATTTGGCTGCTCTGGGTTAGGAATGTAGCTCAGTAATTGTTTGCTTAGCACAAGTCTCAGGGCTTCATCTGCTGTAAAACACACACACACACACACACACACACACACATACACACAAGGTTGTATTTTCAAGAATGCACCGTTGTCTGAAGAAAAGTACTTGTCTTGAAAGAAGACATTACATGCTGTTGTACATTGCATGAAATGTATTTTTAGATTCTACTTTGTGATTTACTAAGACGTGCTCTGGTTCTCACAGGACTGCTCTACATCTTGCCTGTGCTTACGGCCACCCAGAAGTGGTGACTCTCTTGGTAGAGAGAAAATGCGAGGTAGATGCCTGTGACGGCGAGAACTGCACCGCTCTCATTAAGGTACCAGCACCCAGCACTTCCAACTGAGATGCGTCTCACTTAAATACTTGGGGCAAAATGACATCGATTTGATTTAAGTATAGTAATAAGTAAAGCCTAAAATGTGTTTATTTTGAATTCCTAAACTGATTCTCTTTTTCTTGATGCAATAACAACAGGCCGTACAATGCCAGGAAGAAGAATGTGCAGCTATCCTGTTGGACCACGGTGCTGATCCAAATGTGATGGACAGCAGTGGCAACACTGCCCTTCACTATGCGGTCTACAGTGAGAACACGTCCATAGCTGCCAAACTGCTCGCACACAATGCAAATATAGAAGCCAAAAACAAGGTATGACGACAGCTTTAGTTCCAAAATAACCAGAGACACATTGTGAAGGTCATTCTTGTCACCGTGACTGGATTGAGAAAGCACACTTATAGGAATATTTTCAGAAGTGATCAGACGCGAGGACTCTGGATCTAGGTAGTGTTTGAATCCATTGGGTGGAATCTAAGATTGAATAGAACTGTCCCTTACAGGTACTTTCATTGTGATAAAAACAATCCATACACCAGTCAGGAACTCACTGATTAAGCCAGTGCCTTATTTTCTTCTTACTGTAGTCATTTATTTATCTGTGGGGTAGTAGGTGTGTGTGCGCCACAGTGGACATGCGGAGATCAGAGGACAGCTTTAGGGAGTTGCTTCCCTCCTTCTACTGTACGGGTGTCAGGGATGAACTCGGGTTGACGGGCTTAGCAGTGAGAATCTTTACCTGCTGACCCATCTCTTTCCCTGCCTCCCAGCTCAACTGCATTTAAAAAGTTTTCCTTTTTACCCTTTTAGAAAAATTAGATATTTTAGGGGCCAGAGAGATGGCTCAGTGGTGGACAGCACTTACTGCCTTACGAAAGACCCCAGTTCTGTTCCCAGCACCCACGCGGTGGCTCACAATCATCCCTAAGTCCAGGGACCTAGTCTCTCTCATTCCTTGTCTTCTACTGCTTTTGTATTTAGATTGCTCTTTTTTTTTCTCTAAGACTGTGAGGTGCATTGTTAGATTATTTATCTAAGAGCTTTCTTATTTTTCAGTGTAAGACTTCAAGCTGTAAACAGTCCTCCTGGAACCTCCTCCGAGTCCCAGAGCGTGTCCCAGAGCTTCTGTTGAACTCAACTTTCTTTTCCGTTTCGTTCCAGGAACTTCTCCCTGATTTATTCCATCTCCCGATATTTGTGTAGCTTTGCTTCTGATTTCTGGTTTTCCTTCACTATGGTAATACAGGAAGTGGTTTTGTTCCTTTTGTATATGCTATAATTGATTTGTGGTCTAGAATGTGCTACGTCTTAGAGAAGCTTGGAGAGGATGCCGAGACAGACCTGTGTTCTATACCTGTGGGAGGGACTATTGTGTGGAGACCACTCAAGCGCATTTGGGCTGTGCTGTCCTTTAACTCTGAAGTTTCTTCCTTGAATGTTAGTTTGAATGAGCTATCTAAAGATGAGAGTAAGGTGTCACCCACTGTTAGCACCCACTGTTATCCTATCTGACCTTTCTGCCCCTTGTAATTCTGTTAGTTTATCTGTGATCAGATCACTGTTCATTCTTTTATTTATTGTCCTGCTAATTTTATGAGTTCACTGTTCTATTGTTTTAGACATGATAGCTCTCCTTTGTTCCTCTTAGGAAATTTGGGAGTGTATTTTCTCTTTTCACTGTGGGATCATGCCAGCAAGTACTTTTTGTTACCCACTGAGCCATCTTGGCAGGCTCTTGTAAGGGTATTTTACAGTGGTGGCTTGCTTGTTGTGAAATGCCTTTGTGTGTGTGTGTGTGTGTGTGTGTGTGTGTGTGTGTGTGTGCATGTTGTGAAGTGTTCTTATATCTCAGGCAGTTATAAATGATAGCTTTTCTGGAGATAGCACAAGAGTTGGCAGTTACTTACTTTCGAGTTTGAAATAATATTGTTCCCTATATGCAGACAGCTCTCCTGATGAGAGATCTGATGGGTTTGCTTTTGAAGTCAGTTGGGGTTTTAACATCTTGACTATTATCTGTCATGAGGCGGGCCTTCTCTCACCGTGCCTCTTGTTTTGGGATACTTTTTTTGTTTTTTTTTAAAGATTTCTGAGTTTTGTTATATTGTGATTTCATTGAACAGATTCTCCCGGCTGTTAGTGTTCATTTCAGCACCTTTGTCTAGCCCACTGGCTCATAAACGTTACATTTGTGTTGGTGATTTATATTTTGCCTGAGATTAAATAACACAAACACCCGAGTCTCAATTAAAATGATGCAAGAGTAAAACAAATGAAAAAACAGTAGGGTATCCAGGTTCTTCATGAGCAAGAGTACCCCTGCTCCTGAGCCTTGCAGCGGAAACAGCATCCCTTCACACTATCAGAGTAACCCCAGAGACCTTTTAGTAATAAGCGGTGGATGTCCATCTGCATCTAGGTCTTTTAACTTAGTGCCCATTTCCTTAGTGACTCACTTGAAGCAGGAGTGTCTGACACTGGATCCTGGAATCCTGGCATGAACAGGGGAGAAACAGCAAGTTTGCATAGCCTAGAGGGAACTTCCACACTCTTATAAAGTGTTTTAACCTATTTCCTCAAAACTTACTCCTTCTGTTTTAATGTTTGCCACAAAAAAATAATTTTTGAGTGAAGCTTGAGCAGAGTTGGCGATTCCCTTTACTCCTCATGCCAGTTTACTAATGGATTTGAACATGGAATCTTCTGGGAGTGCTACTTCTAGACAAGTCAGTGCCATTTGGTGTTTGCTTTAAGAAGCCTTCCCTGAAGGTGCTAAGTTTGCTCATTAATTCAATAAGACATTTAAAATTTTTAGTTCTGTTAAAGCTACCGACACAAAAGTTAGCATCACAGCCTTCAAGATGCTTGACTGGGTGGGTTGCAGTCACGTAATTCCAAAGTACAGTTCAGCGGAGAAGTCGGTGATTTGTGAATTATGGATTGTTTGCGATGTCTTACAGGATGACCTAACACCTGTGTTACTTGCTGTAAAGGAAAATAAACAGCATATTGTGGAATTTTTAGTAAAGAAGAAAACAAGTATGCATGCAGTTGATCAGCTTGGAAGGTATAGTAGTTTATTTTTTCAAACATCGTGGGTGAGAGCTCTCTCTCTCTGAGTTTCAATCCCTAACACTCAGGCATGGCTGTGCTTGCTTGTAACCCCAGTGATGGGGAGTGGAGGGAAGCCGGTCCCAAGAGCTTGCCTGCTAACACTTACTGTCCTCCTCTGGCCTCTGCATATGTGCACACCTACACATGTGCACGTACATCATGTGCTACACACACTAAACAAGTAAAACCTGGTGTTATACAGTGATAACAACCACTCAGATAGAAGTGAAGAAGGAAGAGGAAGAAGAGAAGATGATTAGCTTCATTATTGAGATGTGCTGGAAAGGCATCAGTACCTGCATGAGTTGGACGGACAAGTGGTTGGTTATTCAGACTAGGCAGCACAGTCTATAGTTGGATTTACCTTCCCTTTTACTATGAGTGACGTCTGTAACCTGATCGATCTACGATCTTACATTAGCTATACCAGTTTCACATTAGTAGCGTTGAATTCTGAAGTTTGTTTGGAACATTTTAAACTTCCTGTATATACTTTTCCTTTTACCAGACTCTACTGAGCATCAATGAAGTAAGTTGCAAATCATTCTGTCTTTTCACTTTTTTTGTTTTGGTTTTTCGAGACAGAGTTTCTCTGTGAAGCCCTGGCTGTCCTGGAACTCACTCTGTAGACCAGGCTGGTCTTGAACTCAGAAATCCTCCTGTCTCTGCCTCCCAAGTGCTGAGATTAAAGATGTGCGACACCACTGCCCGGCTAAGCATAGTTTTTCATGGTAAAAAAAAAAAATCTAAGCCGGGCGGTGGTGGCACACGCCTTTAATCCCAGCACTTGTGAGGCAGAGACAGGCAGATTTCTGAGTTCGAGGCCAGCCTGGTCTACAGAGTGAGTTCCAGGACAGCCAGGACTACACAGAGAAACCCTGTCTCGAAAAAACAAAATAAATAAATAAATAAATAAATAAATAAATATATATATATTAATTTTATACATGTGAGTACACTGTCGCTATCATCAGACACACCAGAAGAGGGCATTAGATCCCATTACAGATGGTTGTGACCACTATATGGTTGCTGGGACTTGAACCCACAACCTCTGAAAGAGCAGTCAGTGCTCTTAACCTCTGACCCATCTCTCCAGTCCTCTATACAGCATCTTTAGAGGTCGAGGCAGTTATCTGATCATTTGATAGGGAGTATGTTCCAGTAAATCAGTAAATCGAATTTTCTTTCTTTTTGGGGGGATGTTGGGTCTTTTTTTTTTTTTTTTTTTTTTTTGGTGTGTGTGTGTCCGTCCCCGTGTCTCCATCTGTCCATCCGGGGAGTGCAGACTAGTTTATGTCAAGTCCACAATCAACATTACTAACACATGGATGAACAAGATTATCATGTAGCCAGGCTTGTCTCCGATTTGATTTGTAGCCCAGAACTTCAGAACTTTGTGCCTCTACCTTCCCAGGTCATAGGATAATGGTGATGGCTACTGTTGATTGTGATTCTCTGGATAAGGCTAGTTGAGATGGGGGCACATACCTTCAATATGGAGCAACACTACTCCATGAGGCGGGGTTCTAGACTGTGTAAAAAGAAGAAAAGGAGCTGAATAGTACTCATTTTCTCTGCCTCCTGCCTGGGGCCTGCCTTGCACTCAGCTGCTTCAGACTCCAGTCAGCATGCCTTTCCCGCTATGCTGAGCTGCCTTCTCAACCTGTGAGCTAGAGAACCCCATAAGTTGCTGTTGTTGGTATTTAATCACAACTAAAAATAGCTACTACAGCCACCATGCCCAGTTTAATATGGTGCACCAACTGAGCTACATGCATATCCTTCGCTAGGATTTGCTATCCGCTAGGGACTTGACGTTTACACTTTTCAGTTTGCTCTGTGATGACAACTCTGGAGTTGCTACAGATCACCAGCCAGATCACTGTTCCCATTAGTCATCATTACTTCTCTATGTCTCCAGTCTAGTTACGGGATTTGAATGAGATTTGTCGCTTGATTTTTGTGTTTGTTGGGTGTTTGCTTGCTTGTTTGTTTGGTGGCTTGTTTTGAGACAGTCTCACTATATAGTCCTAGCTGATCTTAACAAAGATAGATCTATATACTATTGCCTCCCAAGTGCTGGTTTGAGGAGCTGTTTGTGTTTTGCGTGAAGATACCACTTTTTGTTTTAAATTACTTTTGTGAAGAATGTTCATGTTGTCAACATTATATGCTCTTCTTAATTTTTTTCCCTATTTTGTTTCTAATATTCTAATTCATTTCTTTTTGTTTGTTTGTTTTTGTTTTTTTGTTTTTTTTGTTTTTTTTTTTTGTTTTTTTGTTTTTTTGAGACAGGGTTTATCTGTATAGTCCTGGCTGTCCTGGAACTCACTCTGTAGACCAGACTGGCCTCAAACTCAGAAATCTGCCTGCCTGTGCCTCCCAAGTGCTGGGATTAAAGGCATGCACGACCACCACCCGTCTCTAATTCATTTCTAATGCTTTTTTTTTTTAAGTAGCTTGAGCAGAGGAAAGGGATAATCTTTAATGGATAATCTTTTCCTTTAATGAAAATGAGCCTTTGGTGGATAATAATGGGGAAAGATATTTTTAGATTCTCATATCACCAAGCTTCACACCTGACGTACTCATATAAAAAGGAGGCTAAGATATCCTTCGGATTATACTGCGGTTGAGGAGATAGCCCAGTGGGTGAGAGGAGGAGCTTAGTTAGACTCTCCAGTCCCTATGTAAATAGCCAGACCAGGCTGTATGCCTGTAGTCCTCACATTGAGGGGCAGAGACAGGCAGATCCTGGGGGACATCGGGTTTAGTGAAAGAGCCCGTTTTAAGGGAGTACGATGGAGAGTGGTAAACCAGTAGCTCACCTTTTAGGCTAGGCAGGCTGGCCAGCAAGCTCCCAGGATCGGCTTTTGCTTTTCAAAGTATTTAAAATTTGGATTAACAAGGAAGCTTTTCAGCAGACACCTCTAAGTCTCCTACAAGACTTAGGTCCTCATGTATAAAAGAACAATTTATCTTCCGCTGCATGAGCGATAAATGTAGGAATTGAGCATTTAAGAGAGAAGTGCTGCTTTGATTAGACAAGGAGCAGTGCCCAGGCTGAGTCTTAGTCTTCATGTTTTCTGCCCTTGGTGATTGGCTAGTTCACTCATAGTAGACAGTTACCTGCCTTAGTGAGATATTTACCAGCACATTTAGTTTCTAATTACTGTGCAACTGATTTGGCTCAAATGGCCACAAAGAATTGAAGCGTTACTATCAAGGTGTGCCTCAGTATTTTGTGACTACTGCAACATCATTAGAAACTGTGAACACATGCTCATGTCGATTCTGCTTGGGATGCCAAGATAGCTTAGCATGTACTTATATTTAACTGACTGCCTTCAGTTTATCACCGACATTTGCACATTTGAATCATGTGGGATACGATCCTGATATTAGCTGGTTTTATCTGTAATGCTGTTAATGAATTTAATTAATGTTTAATAAATTATTTTACTTACCAGAATTAAAATAATAATTTTTGTCATTTTTTAACATAGCAACAGGCAAATATTTGAATATGATGGGAAGAGACTAAAAAACTCTGAAAACAGCAATCCAGGTAAGATTCCTCATGAAGAATCGCTCTATGGGCCTTCCCTGGGTAGCCATGGAGATGAAGAATGTTTGATCACAGAAGAGCAATATAAAACACAAATCAGTATGGGAGTATCACTTGTGTGCTTTTCTTTATTTCTCAGTCTAAAACGGAGGATTATCTAAGAAATTAGTTAAAGGAAATTTACAGTCTGAAACAGCATTCCTGAAGATTCCATCTTTTCAGTTTGGCCCTGAAATCCGTCAGAAAATTGATTTTCAATTATTACATAGTAGCAGGAAATGATCCTTTTACATTGTATGCTTCCTCCATCCACATGACGACAAATTGAGTTTAGCATAAGAGTGGATTTCACAATAAGTACATTACTTTATTAAGGGAATGGTTTTTTTTGTTTTGTTTTTGTTTTTGTTTTGTTTGTTTTTTGTTTTGTTTTTCGAGATAGGGTTTCTCTGTATAGCCCTGGCTGTCCTGTAACTCATTCTGTAGACCAGGCTGGCCTCAAACTCAGAAATCTGCCTGCCTCTGCCTCCCAAGTGCTGGGATTAAAGGTGTGTGTCACCACCACCCAGCAAGGGAATGGTATTTTAGTTGTTTAAATTACTAATAAAGTATTTTATCTGTTTCTTCCCTAGATATAGAATTAGAATTGTTCTGTGTATTTTCACAGTCTTCAATTTAGGAGAGAATACCATATTGTTCCTTTGAATGTTCTTTTGTTTGTTTGTTTGTTTGTTTGTTTGTGTTTTAGTAGTAGTCTTACAAATTTTTTTTCAATCAGTAACTTTTCTCCTTTCTCTCTCTCTCTCTCTCTCTCTCTCTCTCTCTCTCTCTCTCTCTCT